TGGGAAACGGGTCCAAGTGGCTCTTTAAGTGTTTTGGGTTGCCTACCCCTGACCTAAGGGAAGCTTACTATCGCGTGAGGATTAAGGGGATAAATGGAAGACTGGGGTGCTATCAATTCAAAGTCTTGCCATTTGGATTACAAGGGGGCCCCGCAGTATTTATGCAATTAATCAATGACGTTCTAAGGGAGCACCTGTTTAAGGGCGTCCTTGTTTACCTTGATGACATTCTTATCTTCACTGAAACAAAAGAGGAACATGTCAATCTAGTCAGAGCGGTTTTAAAGAAACTGCGAGCCGCCCACCTATATGCCAAACTCTCGAAATGTGAATTCCACCAGGAAAGGATAGACTACCTAGGTTATCGCATATCCCCACAGGGCATTGAAATGGACCCTGAGAAGTTCAGAGCAGTACTAGATTGGGCACCACCCTGCACAAGAAGGCAACTACAAAGTTTCCTGGGTTTTGAAACTTTTACCGCCAATTCATCCCCTCATTTGCCCAGATAGCCTTGCCCCTCACTAACTTACTAAAAATGAAGGGAAGCATCCTCAGTAAAACCTAGCCAACCACTACCATGGACAATGGAGTGCCAAGCAGCGTTTGAGAGATTAAAGAGATTTTTTTCTGCCGAACCAATACTGAGGCACCCAGACATGGATAAGGCAGATGCAAGTGATGTGGCAGTGGGGGCTGTTCTATTACAAGAAAACGATGATGGGGTATTACAACCCTGTGCATATACATCCAAGAAACTCACGGAAACAGAACAGCGCTGGCCCGTATGGGAGAAAGAGGCATACGGGATACGTTGGGCATTACTCACGTGGTGACAGTTCCTGGAAGGTGGGGAATCTAAATATATGTATACATTAGGAATTTGAGGTCAGTTTCAAATTTTGATTTTTCATGATTTATTTGCTATTTGCCAACAAATGCGTGAAACGCCCTGGCATGAGGGAGAGGTCGGATCTGGAAAACAAATGGTTTTTTGGTTTTCCCAACCAGTGGGGAACCTAACCATATGTATACATTAGGAATTTGAGGTCAGTTTCCAATTTTGACTTTTCATGCTTAATTTGCTATTTGCCAACAAATGCATGATACGCCCTGCCCTATCTCCTGAGAGAGAGGTCAGATTCGGAAAACAAATGGTTTTTCAGGTTTCCCCGAAGATAACACTGCATATACCCTTTTTCCCCTTTATATCTCATATATATGTATGTATGTACGTATATGTATATGTATGTATGTGTATATATGTTTGTGTGTGTGTGTATATATATATATATATATAATGGTAAAAAAGGATATGTGCAGTGTTATCTTCATTTTAGATATCAAAAGGGTTTTGCTCCCAGTGTTTTGTTTTCGGTGGGAAACGGGTCCAAGTGGCTCTTTGAGTGTTTTGGGTTGCCTACCCCTGCCCTGGCCTAATTAGAGAGAGGTCGGATCCAGAAAACAAATGGATTTTCGGATTCCCCAACCTGTGGGGAACCTGAATATATGTATACTTTTCAAATTTGAGGTCAGTTTCAAATTTTGACTTTTCATGCTCAGTTGGCCATTTGCCAACAAATGCGATCAGGACGACAGATAAAAAATAATATGAGGATAATAATGAACACTTTAGAATTTTATGAGGTCCATCCTGAAAGACAAGCTACAGTGATTTTTCTTGATTCCCAGAAGGCATTTAATAAACTGAATTGGAAGTTTATTATAACACAATTGCACTATATCGATTTTGGGACAAAATTTGGAAAGATGGTTGAGAAAATATATACCAAACAAACAGATAGGGTAATTATAAATGATGAAATGACAGAAAAAATTGATATAACCAAAGGAGTAAGACAAGGATGCCCATTTTTCTGTCTTCTATTTATTTTACCATTAGAAATACTCCTGACAGAAATCAGAGAGGACTAAGATATAAAGGGTTTCAAAATTAAGAAGGAAGAATATAAGATCCAAGCCTTCGGTATTGATTTGGTATTCATTTTGGAAGATCCATTAGAAACCAGCCTTAAATTGATTCAAAAAAATAGAAGAATTCAGTGAGATAGCCGGACTTAAGATCAATAAGAATAAATCCAAATTAATAAACAAAAATCTTATAAAGGCACAGGAAAGTGAACTGGAAGATAAAACAAAGATAACTAAGAAAATAAAATATTTAGGGATCTGGCTTACAGCGAAGTGTTCCTTGATTAAGGATAATTATGATAAAATATTATACCAGCTAAAAAAAGATTTAGAAAATTGGGAAAATCTACAAATTTCATTTTTAGGGAGGATCTCTATAGTCAAAATGAATATATTGCCAAAAATATTATTTCTGTTCCAAGTTATTCCAATAAAATTAGGGAAAACATTCTTTAAGAATTAAATAAATTGGTCACTAAATTTATATGGCAAAGGAAAAAACCCAGGATTAAATTAAAACTCTTGCAAGATATGAAAGATAAAGGGGATTGGCGTTACCAGAGTGGGAAATATACTACAAAGAATCGAGCCTAACTTGGCTAAAAGATTGGATGGAATTGAAAAATACTAGAGTTTTAACAATAGAAGGACATGACTTGCAAACGGGGTGGGACGAAAAATATAAAATACACAGATACTTTCAAAGATACGTAGTTAGGAATGCATTGCTACAGACTTGGGAAAAAATAAAACAAAAACATTATATAAGAATTCCAATGTGGTTATCCCCAAAAGAAGCTCTGAAGCACCCAAACCTACTGGATATAAATAAGATAATTAGATACAAGGAATTAGTAAACAAACAGAGAAATCTGAAAACAAAACAAGAATTAGAACAAGATATAGGCAGAGAGATTGACTGGTGGAGATTTACACAAATTCAATCTAAATATGCAATCTAAAAAATTATATGAAATACAAAAAGAGCCGCAAGAATTGGATAAAATTATATATGGAACAGAAATAAAATTAATTAGCAATTTATACAAGTATCTATTGAGATATAAAATGGAAGATGAGGTTGTCAAAGACACAATGATTAGATGGGCAAAAAAAATTCTGATATAAATATAGAATTGGAGAAATGGGAAAAAATATGGGAAATAAACATAAAATTGACAGCGGCATTCAAGGAAAACCAGTTGAAGATGTTTTACAGATGGCATCTTCCACCAGCAAAGCTTGCCAAGATGTTCCAGAACAATTCGCCAACATGTTGGAAATGTAAAAAAGTACGTGGAACATATTACCATTTATGGTGGACATGCCCAATTGCGAAAAAATACTGGACTAAAATAAGAAGATGGATCGAAGAAATAATAGACCAACCTGTAGACTGGAAACCAGAGATCTTTTTCCTGGGTATTTTAAACAGAAAACATAGTAAAGAAATACGGTACTTAATTCTACATATAACAATGGCAGCAAGAATAGCATACGCACAGTTCTGGAAAAATGAAAATATACCATCAGAGGAAGAAATGATAAGAAAAATCCTGGACTGTGCTGAGATGGACAAATTAACAAAAGAGATACACAGTACTATCTAATATGGAACAAGTGGTATGACTGGTTGGAGACTAGAAATAATAGAGAATAAATGTGGGAAGGTTAAGTGGAAAATGTGTGTATAATAATGTATAGTAATAATATGTATTATTTTTAGTATGAAGTATAATTTGAAGGAAGAAAAATGCAAATAAGAAACAACAGGACAACGACAAATATATCTAAAGAAGAATAAGGGGGGAAATGTAAATAATAGATTACCGTTACAAAATTGCTGTTAAAAAAAAGGAGTATATACTTTGTGCGTATGTATGTTATGTTTTGTTTTGTTGGTTTAAAAAATAAAAAAATTGAAAAAATCAAACAAAAAACAAATAGCTACCGGTTAAAGTTTCAACCCCATGCCAGAACTAACCCCAAATGAATCGGCGATCCCATCACTGAAAGAATAGATGGAACAATTACAAAACACCTGGCCAATAGTTAGAAAAGCACTAGATGAAGCTAGGCATTCATACAAAGCACAAAAAGGGTTAAGCCTACACCATTTGTTATAGGAGAAATGGTATCCTTATCTACAAAATACCTAAAATCCCTAGAACCCTGTAAAAAACTTGGACCAAAATATATAGGGCCTTTTCCAATTAAAAGAATCATAAACCCAGTAACAGTAGAATTAGAATTACCCAAAAATCTTAGGCAAATACACCCAATTTTTCACTGCATGCTGAAAAGAGAACATCAGTCACCCTTACGGCCAAAAATCCCCCCCCCACCTCCAATCATGGTGGAAGGCGAACAACACTTTGAGATAAAGGAAATCCTAGACTCTAGGAGATATCATGGGGCAACTCAATACCTATTAGCGTGGAAACACCTCCCCGCCTCACAAAACGAGTGGGTCCATAAACGTCATGTCAGAGCCCCGAAGCTATTAAAGAAGTTTCACACAGAGTATCCTAACAAGCCAGACTAACTTTTATACCTGTTTTGTTTTCTTTACAGGTGGATCTCTCTGATTTTTAAGGGGGGCAGGATGTCAGAATCAAATTATACTTCATTTCTAGCTTACCTACTCAGGAAAAAAAAAAACGTTTCTGCTCTCTCTGGATTCTGTCATACTATGAAGGGGAAGGGGGATGAGCAGGGAGGGGGTTATGGCTCTCACTTCCTTCATTAAACTACAAAGGACTGGATGCTGATTCTCATCAAGAGGACTGACCATAACAATATGGCCATCACCTTTCATCTACTCGCTCTCTGAAGTCTCCCTTTTGCCGGCAGTGGGGGGGGGGCTGGGATCTGGGAAAAGAGAGGATGAGTGATCATCACCCGGAAGAACTGTGGGGTCGGGTGGCTGCTTGGGAACACTTAAAACATTGAAGGATGGGAGAGAATTCCTCAGATCCTGTCTAGCATGCCTGCAATCATTTTCTCTTAATAAAGATGCAACTCCATATTTGCCACTCCTCCTCTCCCCACCTCCTTTTTCTCTCCAATCTAAATTATTTTTATTCCCAGCTCCTTACCAGAAAACCTAGCACAGAGGTAGTACAGAGAAATTACTGGGTATCTACATAGATATATGAGAATCTAAACACACATATTTTTGGCATATGATCTGTGGTGTCTACCCCATTTGTTATGCTAGCATATAACATAAATTGCACACATTTGCAATATTCATCTGCCCAGTGTTGGATACTGCTTTCAATATGATAAAAATATTCCCAAGGGTATTGATTTCCAACTATATTGCAAAAAAATAATAATACATTTTTTATGTAATTTTCATTAGGAACTAATTCTCACTATTACAGATAATCAGGGGTGCCCATATTAAAAAAATAGGAGTATAATAAACACAGAGACAAATTTAGAGCTGTGACATGTTGGGGTACACAGATAAAGGAGATATAGGTTGTAAAAATATATAATGAAATAAATCCTTCCAGTCACTGGATTTCTATTCCTGTTGTTCCCTGGGGCACGTGGAAGTTTGAGTGCATTAACATTTCAGAGTGACAAATTCCCAACCCAACCAACCATATTTCTTTTCAGTAATACTGTAGTCCTAAGTTCTAAGAGAACTTAGAAAAACAAAAAGCAAGAAGGCATTCTCTAGCATATCAAAATTATACCCATGTGCAGGTGAAAAATAATTCCTTGCAATGTTGCTTTATAAAGCTAGTCTGGAAGTTATCCATTATTATTAATTTGAAAAAGCAAAAGATACGTATACAGTTCCTTGGTTTGATAAAATTTCTAAGAGAAATTACCAGATGTACTGAAACCAACAAATCTTTTCAAGTTATATGACAAATGTACAAGGGAATATTTGATCTAGTTTTCATGAAACAATGCCCAGCGAAATTGGGTTCTCCGATATGGCAGTATTAGATCTAAAGACAAATCTTTCTGCTCTTTCTCAGAATTTACAAATTGATAACCAAGTATATTTAAAGCACCTCTACAAACTTCTTGCACTTTTTGGACTTTCTGAAATGAAAGAACATTTCTCCATGCCTGGGAAACATTGAGTGCATCTCGAGAAGTGATTTGGAAAGCTTCTCTCTTTTTACTCGGTCCTTGTCCATGTGTAATATTATAGATCCAATTTTTAAGTTTCTGGGTCAAAATAAGATCTGTAAATGTATACAATGCAGTAATTTCCATTAAAGGATCCCGCACAATGTCTTCAAATCGGATTAATAAGTAACGATCTTTTAAAAATAATGGAGGCTTCTGACTAGCTGTTTCATAGATCTGAATGTGGCTTCTACAAATCTCCTGCAGGACTTTAAAGCCAGTGTCATCCACTCTGCTGCTATTTATACCCAGAATTATTCCATTGTCACGGGCAAGGGCTTTGACAGATTGTTCCCGAGATTTCAGGACAGCCCTGGGGTCACGGACCAGGTGAATGATTTTGAGATTCAGGGAGGGGTCAGCAAGGAGTGGGTAGAGCACTTTGAGGTCAAAGAAACGGACTTCCTTTAGGACAACATGGCTATAGGTCTTGCAGGCCTCTTCCACTTTACTAAAAGGATACTTGCCACAGACAGTTTTGCAAGCACTTTCACCAGTAATATCAGACCGTTGGAAGAATTCACAAGCAGGTATTGTGCATAATGCCCGGCTCACAGCCCACTGGAACAGATCAGACAAGTTTCTGTTTCTCTTCCAGGGCAAATAGGCATCGAACACCGACATGTCACACTTGAAGACAGACCGGATGAGATCCCGCACAGCCATGTGCAAGACCTTGGCGCTGTTTTGGTACATGGTTGCCCACACATGCCAGGCTGGCTCCATCAGATAGAAGACATTGGGGTGCTGACTAAAGAGTTGCCCCACAAAGGAAGAGCCTGACCTCCAAGAGGAAAGGATGAGGATGTGCACCTGGGCAGGTTTTTCCATAGACCGTGGAATGAAGCCACTTTGTTGAATATATAGAAAGAATAGAAATCCTGTCTGGATTGCCAAGATAATTGCAGTTGTGGCACTGGAAAGGCGAAGCCTCAGCATCCTGGGTGAAGCTGAGTACAACTGGAATGCTGGAGAGAAGGTGATCACCACTTTTTAAAGCATCAGTTTGATAGAATTATGCTTTAGCAGTTTTACAAATTACACATTGGGGGTGGATAAATGAACTGTATGGAGAATCCCAGATTACTGCATCATGGATCCACAGTGATGAGAAAAGCTAAAAGAAATGTATATGGGTTGTTAATAAACAGGTTAGATAAGAATTCTGCTATTCCAATTTATATGCATTATTTATTAGTATCTTTTCCTCTACCCAGCCTTAAAACACAGAATTCAGCCTCTCTCTCATATTAAGGAGTGAACAATTTAAGAGTTTGGGGTTCAGGTTTCCTTTAACTCTCATAAAACAAGTAAAATACAGAAGCAAAATAATTGCTTTTTGAGTACAAGAAGATTTTTACAGGAAGATTTTTCTTGGGTACAAAATTTTTAAATACGTAAGAGCCGTGGTGGCGCAGTGGTTAGAATGCAGTATTGCAGGCTAACTCTGCTCACATTGCCAGGAATTTGATTCCATCGATCCTGACTGACTCAAGGTTGACTCAGTCTTCCATCTTTCCGAGGTCGGTAAAATGAGGACCCAGACTGTTGGGGACAATATGCTGACTCTGTAAACCGCTTAGACTGGGCGCTGTGAAGCTGTATATAAAGTCTAAGTGCTACTGCTAAGTGCTATTGGGGAAAAGTCTTCACAGTGTTCTTGAGCAAAAATAACTCCACAACTATTTTTGAAGGGAGGGGGCTCGTTTTAGCTGCAGCCGTTCCTGCTAGCTAGAAAGTTTGGGATTCGGAGGTCGGCCCCGCCCGCCTAAAATCGCGGAGCGGGGGCGGGGGGGGGGAGATTCCGGGCTTGCAAATAGCGCAGCTGGTGAGAGTTGTGTCTGCCGGCGCCAAGGTCCGGATGCAGACACTCTTCCCGGTCCCTACTCAGACGCTCAAGCGAGCCGGTCGGCATCCGCGTCCTCGTGGCTCCAGGCGCGATTGTCCGCCAGCTGATGGATAGATACCCGGTCGGAGGAAGAGAGCGCGCCTCGACCGTCGTTCATCCCGATACCTGGAACTGCAAGCCTCCTCTTTTCCAGACGCTACACGCACCCGGTACCAGCCCCTCCCCATCCCGGCCCCTAACCTCAGTATATGCCGGCGGGCGACTAAAGAGGTCGCGGTTAATCGGAGGAGGCACGAAGGTGAGGCTGCGGCGCCTGCTCCGCATACAATGAGCGACATTCAGACGTGGCCGTTCCTCTACGGCTGCGCGGTGGGTGAATGCTTGGGCGGGGGGCGTCAGCGAGGGAGACGCCAATCAGGGACTGGCCCTATGGAAGATGGAGGCGGGTGGGCCACTTCTTCCCTCCTGGAAGGAGCTTGCAGTGCCTAATGGACAGGCTCCCTCCCTCCAGCCCCACCGCAACCGGCTAGCCCACAACAGCGAACCTCTCCGTGCTGCAGTTAAAGCAGAGGGGCTACCAGAACCTACTAGGTCAGCAGCTCTCCATGATGAGCAGCAGCATTTTGCCCTAGACCTAGAGCCTGTTGAGAAAAGGAAACTCTTCTCCCCCCCCATCCTTAAATCCATAAAAGCAGCTTCACCAGGTGACACCAAAAGTTCTATGGGAGAAGCTCTGCTTTTCTCTTCATTGCTGAGGTTTGCAAGGGATGAGGAAGTTTGGCAAAAGTGGAAAGGTGATCCATGACCCAATTTACTTAACCTTAGTCCAATTACATTTATGTGTTAATAAACTGTTAGTCACATCAACTTGCAAGTTGAAATATTTTGCTATATAGGGCTGAAAAGATTTTACAGGCAGAGAGTTACACACACAAAATGTTGCTCTTAATGACTGGTCAATGTTTCCGTGAAAATGAGTATCTTTCAAATTTATATAAAAGAGGGTCTGCTCCAAAAAGGAGTGCACCCATTTGGAACTTGCTTCTGAGTAACCTCTTTTTTTGCTAATAAAAGTTTTTTTTCCTACCCATCTATCTGGCATTATTCATTGGACTTGCATGCCAGGTGAAAGAACCCATGCTTTCTGAGACAATAATAGCTCCTGACTGATGATGGCCCTTGATTTTCTCCTTGGGGATTTTGCAAACACAGTGGAAAAAGAACAAAGGCATTCTTTATTTCAGTATTCTTGCAAAGAAAATCTGTCTTTTCAAAGAATGTTCTTTTTGTTTCTGTAGTTAATTCCTTCTAGAGGATTTTGCCATCAAGACTGGGATTCAGTTATGTACTTACAGACAGTAAAACTCATTTGTATAATTTTCATTAAAAGGTTTTTCTTGCCACTTATTATGGCTGATATGCATCTGATAGACCATAATAACAAACAGATTTCTGAAAATAGGACAGGAAAGAAAATCTACACTGAGAACTCACAATAAACTTTGCAAAATAATGTATGAACCCAATGTGTGGAAAGCCTCATCTTCCAAATGCAAAAGCAGTGGAGGCCACTGAGAGCAAAGTTCTTTCTCCTCTGCAGGTCAGGACTGGTGCTCTTTATAGGACAACAGTGGGGGAAGCAGAGACACCGGCACTATGTTCAGCACTTGATTTCGAAGAAGGAAGATTTTTATTCTTTCAAAAATCCACAAAAATATCAGGAGGATGCTAATGTACTGCATCCAGGCAAACTTCATCATCTCCCAGAAGCCTGGCTGATATGTGCTAAAAGTCAAGGAATATTTAGAATCTGAAGCATCTTCATATGAAGGCAAGGATGTGCACTTCCGATTCTTTTGGCTAGTCATGTGAACTGGGAAGCATTCCACCTCCCCCTCCAAGAGTGGCCAGGGACAGTCAAGAAATGAGAACCTCCAAGATCTCCTTTCCCCCAGTCCAACATAAAATGCACCATAAAACCTTTAAGCTTTTTTTTTTTAATGCTAGAAACATTTTTTAGAGATACATCCTGTTTGAGTTTCATGGTATTTTTCTAACCTAATGTTAGCTAGGCTACAAGTCTTAATACAACAGCCATAGTTGTATCAGTTGTTGAGGCCAAGTGCCATAAACCAAAACTATCACCAACTGGTAGCCAAAGGATATACAATCAATTCCATCGGATAATGGATGAAGGCCCGGATCACAAATGGTTGATCTGGTGATCTTCCAGTCACCCAAATGGGACCGGGACCAGCCAAAACTGTTGTAACTGTAAAGGAAATAATTATAATTAATATTAAGCCAAATGCTTTGCATACAAAAATGTAAAAAATTCTGTGAAAACTCACCATTCCTCTTCTGATATGTTTCAAAAATGTTCACAAAATCATAGTCTTGTGCAAAAGGACTTGTACTATTGATCACAGATACCTGTCATAGTGAAGAGAATTTTGCATTGGACACAGGATCTTACTAAATGTTAACTTGCATCAGAATGTATGATGAATACTTTTAGACATATATTAAAAGATATAGGTTTCCATCTTGGTTTAACTTGTATTCTTGTAATACTCTACTGGGTAAAAAGAAAACTTGGTTTCATATAAACACAAAACCTTTCATAATTGCTCAGATTTTGTAAATTGCCAACTGACCAAATATACACTGACAATGTTCATAAAATCAAATACTTTGAAAGGATTTGTTATATGTATTTTTCTTTCAACTAAGGTATCCTGTATTTTTTTTAAGATAAATGCATGGTTTATTGGATTTTAAAAGACAAGGTAATTATTCTGTATGAGAAAAATCCAAAAAGCCACACTTGTCATGTAGTCAATTTAATATTATCAAACTCTTATCTGGGAACTTTAATGAATAAGCAAAAACAAGATTATATGTAGATGGAAATATATGCATCCAAATAACATTCTTTTTAAGGAGAGATTATATGTTTTTATAGGTTTGCTTCCTTTTTAATTTTGTATCTAATACAGTTTTTTATCTTTAAAATTAACATTTTAAAAAAGGAAAGCTGAAGTAAGATTGTAATTATTGTTTCACTCAGCTACTGCTTCACTTAACAACTTGCCAGTCCCAATCGTGATCACTAAACAAGGACTACCTGTACACTAGCACAACTGTTTATTATCAATAAAACATTTTGAAAAAATGTTCACAAATCTCAGTTCACAAATTCAATCAGGATCACAGCTTATGCTGTTACTTGCCTCCAGATGGCCTTTATTTTCTGATATCTCCTTAGTTTTTATCGGATTTTCAAACTTGCTGAATACTTAGTAACACAAATCTAAGCATAGTCCACTGAATATAGTATATGACTTCAGCCAGAGCAGTTGCAGAAGAAAAAATAGGCAAAGGATAACACAACCAACTGAAGAAAGTGAGATGGGGAAAGACAACACTCACATTATATCTGCTATCTAGCCCAGCATGGAGAAGGGGCTGCCTCTGATGAAGTTTGAGATCTCCATTTACAAACACCTGCGATCCTGGCACAGGGCTAAAAGACTGCAAAAAAGCCATGCTCTGCATCACAAAAGTAGACATTCTCTGGAATGAGAGCAGTAAATAAATCAGAAAGATGGGGAGAGAATTGTTATACCACAATCTCAGCATCATGTCACAAAAAGTAGAATTATAATTACTGAGAAATGTAGAATCTAGCAGTTAAATCAAGCAGCTATATATAGAATTCCCAAAGACTTAAAGAACCTGAAAAAAGAGGTTGCAATTTTAAAATTTGTTGTGTAAGAACATTTTAAAAAATGTACAGTCCACAACAAATAACATTTCTATTTCAATACCAATCACAAGACATAAACTCAACATAGGACATGAATAGAATTGCACATTTCCTCAGAAACAACAGTTAAATATATTGTGTATACCACACCCACTACTGCATTATACATAGGAAGCACTGTCCTCTGTAAATACGATTGCTTTTTAAACCATCCCAATTGGCACCAATCAATAAAGAGTTCCATTTATCTATCCTACTTTTCCCACCATTCAATTTTATTACATAAAAGTTCCAGTATTCCGCAAAAAAAATGCTCCCAGTTTTCCTAGATTATGCAGTTTCGTATTTTTAGTGTTTTCTGAAACTATCCTGAGCACTGTAACTATTAAGCTCCCTGCTCAGTTTCTCTCCAGACCTGCAACTTACAATATTTATTTATATCCTGCCATTATTGTTTTTATAAATAACTCCAGGCAGCGAACACAGACAATACTCCTTCCTCCTCTATTTTCCTCACAACAAATATCCTGTTACTTACATTGGGCTGAGACAGTGGCTTGCCCAAAGTCACCCAGCCAGCTTTTTTGTGCCTAAGAACTCAGGGTCTCCTGGCTTCTAGTCTTCACCATTAGACCAAACTGGCTCTGCTTTATCATTCTGCTTTAGAGGAGAGAAATGATAATTAGCTACCCAGAGCCTCTGTTAATTGACAGTATTGTACTTAATAGTACAACAGGTTCCTTTTCAGCCTTCCTCTCAGCAGCAGAATTTTTCTCTGGGTAAAATTAAATTAATTAATTTAACCTTCTGTTTGAACAGTAGTTTTCCTGCCCAAGTTTTGCATTAAATCTCAGTCTCTGCTGAAGCTAAATGCCTGGAGCTCTCACCTAATGGGACAGAAATGTTGTTCTGCTTCAAACAAAAAGCAGAGAAAGGCAACAGTGTTCACCACCAAAAGACCAATGCAAGCCAGTTGTCCTCCTATCGAAAGAGTTGCTGGGGAGACTCTCCCCGCTGCCACCGGAGGACACTCACGTGCAACTCGTAGGAGAAAGTCAGCAGAAGCTGAATCCCCACGACTCGTTCGGAGGGGAGGAGCGGAAGCTCCAGCTGAAAATGGAGCTGGTCCATTACTCCATCCCGGTTAGAATCTTCCTCCCGAGCCTGGAACACAGAAGGAACATTAGGACGCCACCGTGGCGCCTACCGGACAGATACAGCTTAAACAAAGTTCCGGCTGGGCACCCTGAACGTGGCCCGTTGCCAGGCAACCACGCGGACCCCGACCCAGGAACGCGTTCTCGCGGGGGCGGCCCCAGCGCTTTCCGGAGCAGGCTCGGTCCCCGCCGCGACGGCAGCGACGCAGCCCAGCCATTCCCGCCGTACCGAGACGAGCGGGACACGCAGCCGGCCGCCCAGCAGGCGATTGCAGGCGGCGAAGGAGCTCCAGCCCACCGGCCCGCCGCCGCCCTCGGTTAGCGCGGCCAGGAGCACCTCGTGCCGGAAGCGGACTACGGGCTGCTCGGCGTAGCTGCTCCGCGAGCGCCAGAAACCTGCGGAGAGACCGAGAGCAAGTGAGACGGGGCGGGCGAGCGACAGTCCCGCCCGGGGCGCCCCCTCCGCCGAACCCACCGTGGCTCCGGTAGGCCACCAGCAGGGGCGGCACGTAGGTGAGCGCGCCCAGCAGCAGCAGCCCCAGCGCCGCCAGGGAACACAGCCGGCCGCGTCGGCCGCCGCCGCCGCCCGCAGCCACCTCCAGCCAGGCCATGCCGCCGCGCGTCTCCACGGCGACGGGCGCGCCACCCTGCCAACCAATCGCCGCGGCGGAGGGCGCGCCCGCGGAGCGTCGGCGGACGTCCCGCCCCTCCCGCGCGCAGAGGGGCTGCTGCGGCTGCCGAAGAGTTGCTGGAGGACTAAAGGCCCGACTCGCCCGCCCGCCGCCGGACCGCCCGACCATGAAGTGGATGTTCAAGGAGGACCACGCGCTGGGTAAGCGGGCCACGCCGCGGGTGGGTGGGTGGGTGGGTGGGGCGGCGGGCGGGCTAGGCCGCCTGACGCGGCTCTCCTCGCCTTCTCCACAGAGCATCGATGCGTGGAGTCCGCCAAGATCCGGGCCAAGTACCCAGACCGCGTCCCGGTGAGTCGGCGGAACGGGAAGCGGGCTTCGCTCGAGTGCAGAGGCCGCCCGGGGGGCGCTCGAGGCGGCTCGGGATGCTCAAGGCGGGCGGCGGGGGCAGCCTTGTCATTTCCTCCCGGCAGCGGCTCTGGCGGGGGGGGGGGCGGGCTGTGCAAGGAGCGGCAGGCCCTTCTTTCCTAGTGAACAGGAGGCGCCACGACCCTCTCCCGGTGGATCGTCCCTAGACAGACCGACGCGTGACTGGGCTGAAGGGGGGGCGGAGGGGGGGCCTGGCCGAGATAAATTTCTTCCGTCTCCAAGCAGGTGATAGTCGAAAAGGTCTCTGGATCCCAGATTGTGGACATCGACAAGAGGAAGTACCTGGTTCCCTCTGATATAACCGTGGCTCAGTTCATGTGGATCATAAGGAAGCGGATCCAGTTGCCCTCCGAGAAGGCCATATTTCTCTTTGTAGACAAGACTGTCCCGCAATCTAGGTGAGCGGGGGTGGGGGTGTCGTATGTAGTAACAGGACAAAAGTCAGCCTTTAATTTCTGGAAATTGTGGAGTGCACCTACAAAATCTTGGATAGTGGATGTAGCCACTTTCTAAAGTAGAACAGATTTCTTCTCTCAATTTCAACATTTAACATTTCCTAGATAACATTCATGTTAAATTCTATTAATATTTCCCAATAATTAACTGTTTGGTTCTGTTGTTTTGATGCCACTATCCCCGTGCAAAGTGCTTATCATGGAGACTCGACTATTAGCTCTAGTCAAGCTCTAGTGACATAAGATTGTGGGAGCCAAGACACCAGGGTGGGATGTGCACCACTTGCCAATCCCTGTACTTGAAAATCAGATTAAAGTTAGGGATTAATTTAAGGAAACTGATACCAAATTTCCATTTTCATTCTACTGCACTATTTCATCCACTATAGAGGACCTTGTTTTCTCTGTTACTTCCCATTTTTTTGACTTTGCACCAAAATACAAAAAAGCTAACTATCTCAAACTGCTCTCTATGGTTTCTCTCTAGCCAGAGACAGTGAAGAGAAAACTGTATATTTCTTGTGAGAAACAGCTTAAACCTCTTTATTTAATGGATTTGTTTAACAAGGCATCCAAATTCATACATTCAGAACTCATTAGGCAGCAAAACTTAGTCTGCAGGGTTACTCACTCCTTCCTCTCACCCACCCACTCCATGTTTTTGGATTGGTATGTGATGGTTTTCTTGCTTTCTTTTTTTTACAGTTTAACCATGGGACAGCTTTATGAGAAGGAGAAGGATGAGGATGGCTTCTTGTATGTGGCGTACAGTGGAGAAAACACCTTTGGTTTCTGATTTCATCTCCATCCTGCTGCTTTGTAAATAGCCTCGTTCTTCATCATGACCCTGAGGGGCATTTTTCATTTGTCACTGGGTTGATTTAATATATTGATAGATTTTTGTTTGCTAGCTTAGTAATTTATAACATTTTATTTTTCCATTACACGTGTAACCATAGCTGTAAATTCCATTTCATCCTTTCTGTTGAGACATATTTAGTGGCATTATCCAAATACAGATGCAACTATAGATAAAAAATTAATGATGGGAGAAGGATTTTGAATTAAATATTAGCATAATAATTACAGTTTCATAGAAATTGCAGTTTCTGTAATATCCTAAGGATGCTGATATGTTTATCTTGGTTAGTGTATTGCTTTTATTGAATTTTGCTTAAGCAACAATTAAAGTTAGTGTCACAAAAATTTTGCAATACTGCTATGTATTTCAGCTTTCCTTTTTTATAAAGTAGCATTTTAAGATTAAGTGTATAAAATACATTTTCAAATAATACAAAATCATTCAGGGACACCATAGAGAGGTTGCAAAATTATTTTTATTCCCTTAGGACAGTGGTGGCGAACCTCTGGCACAGGTGCCAGAGGCGGCACTCAGAGCCCTCTCTGTGGGCACACGTGCTGTTGCCCCAGTCTTGCCTTCCCCTGCGACTCCCTCCTCACCAGCAGCCCCTCTGGAGGAGAGTCGCCCCCGAGTGTGGCCCATGCGGAGCAGCGCAGCCAAGAACATGGCAGCCAGGCAGCGTAGACAAGACTCTGCCCTCATGCCCCATCACGCAGTTGATGCTGCAGGGCGTGGCCATGGGCTGCTTGGGCGATCTGCGGTGGGCCCTGGAGTGGCCCTGCAGGCAGGTGGGGTAGGGGCGGGAGCAGAGCAGGGCCAGTTTTTGGGCACTTGGTGTCAGAATCCAATTATATTTCATCTCTAGTTATCAATTATAGAAAACCCCATTTCTGCCTTCTCTGGATTCTGTCATACAAGGAAGGGAAGGGGGTGAACAAAGGGGCTTTATGGCCCTCACTTCCTTCGGTACAACTTCAAATGGATTGAATGTGGATAGCACCAAATAGCCCTAGGGGGCTATTACCTTTCATGTAGTTTTCTCCGAAGTCTCCATCCAGCCGGCAGTAAGGAAAAGGGGTGGGAAATGTAATGCCTGAGACTGTTGCTGGAAGTAGGGGGGGATTGGGTGGGGCTACTGGGAAACCCCTTAAAACCTTGAATGGGAGAGCTTGGACCCCAAGTCCTGTCTAGAACACCTGCAACCATTCTCTCTTAATAAAGGATTCCTGTTGGAAGAATTATTCCAAGAGTTCTGTCTTCTTAAGATGCAAAGTGGGATGGGTCCTTGGAAAATTAATCCACCTGGAAGGGAGACCCTTGCCGGGGGATTTTGCAAAAAATTGCCATGTCAGACAATGGAGCAAGAAAGGGGGAAAACTCCCCTGAAAGAGAGCCGCTGCCCCAACTGGAACCTTCCCAGATGTTGGGATCAGAGAAGTCAGATTCCTCAGGAGAAGAAGTGGTGGAGACATGGGACCGCAAGCCTCGCTGGTCAATGGGCGTTGGAAAGAAAAGTGAGTGGAGAAAGGAATCAAGAAAGGTGACCCTGAGATGGGGGACCAAGCAACCAGAATGGAAGCAGGAGATGGAGAAATCACTGCACGCAAGTGAAGAGGGAGAAAGCTGGGCATCGTACTCAGACTGGATCCTAGAGAAAGCTATTGACCTGATGAAGAGAACTCTCAGCTCCCTAGGAGAGGAGAATCCTGAGCCCTACGGCCGCCCCAGCTCCTGGAGCCGCAAAGGGAGAGACACCGAGGGGGAAGTGGAACCTGCAACCCCGGGGACATCTGCTGATCCAGTAGTCCCCACCCCCTACCGGACCACAGATGGCAATCTGGACGGAAGACACTACCACCAACAACGGAGGCACCGATCCATTCCAAGACGTCCGCTGTTGGAGGTGAAATTCAAAGGGGAGCCAACACGCTTGGGGTTTTTCCTAACTCAAGTCCTCAGTTACATGGAGGAATACGGGCAGGACATCCCCAGCGACAAAGCCCGCATCCGGATTGTGCAGTCTGCCCTGGATGGACCGGCTGCAGATTGGGTGGTGAACTTGCATGACTCCAATGCCCCAGAACTCAGCAACTTCAACCGTTTCATGTCCTCTCTGAGAAGACGATTTGAAGACAATTTGAAGACGATGAGGCAAGGCAAACGCCTGGTGGCTGAATATACACGAGAATTCCGGGCCATTGCCAGCAAACTGAATTGGCCAGAAGACATCCTCCTTAGCCATTTCAAAGACGGACTAAATTATGATCTATATGACGCTTGCCTGCCCCGAGGGGACCCACACCAACTTGAGGAATGGTACATCTTGGCAGAGGAAGCAGAGATCGACATATTGAAGAGACACCGCCGAGGAAAACAATGGAGCCGTCCCCCGCCTGAGCTGACACACGAACCGGTGAAACCATCGGCTACAGCCAAGAAGCAAATGGGGTGTTTCAAATGCGGAAGGGCATCGAGCTGTAGAATGCCGCTCCAAAGCCCCCCGGCACAACCCAGACAGATCCCCAATCAGCAAATCCGGAAAGTCTTCAGCTAAGCCAAAAGAAACTGCCATGAGAATGATGGAAATTGCGGAACCCCCCACTTCTGCTCACCAAGGGGAAAAAACTCCAGCCTACACCACAGGGCCGGTGGATGCCTCAGATGACAGCTCGGAGGGCGAACCCCTGGTAAGTGGACACATCACACCCATCCTCAAGACAGTGACTATATTAATCCCCCCCATGCCCGAAGCTGTGAAGGTGAAAGCCTTAATAGACTCTGGCTGCACCCGCTGCCTCATTAGCCCAACACTAGTGGGGAATCTGGGCATCCCATCGAGGAGACTGGAACAACCAATCTCATTTGGCCAGTTAGATGGATCCATAGCAGGGGGGGTGCCAGCTACCCTAGCCACTCTACCAATACACCTCTCCCTGGGCAAACATAACGTTTGTGATGACCCCAGGCATGGAATGCCCAATGATCCTAGGGATGGAATGGTTAAAAAAATGAAACCCCCTGGGTAAATTGGAGGACGACAGAAATCAAATTCCCGACTTAAAACCCCAAGGGAGGCTACCAGAATCAAGAATAGAAAAAGCATCCATAGGAGAGGAAAAGACTAACAGAAATACCAGAGGAATACAGAGACCTTGCTGAAGTTTTCAGTGAGGAGAGGGCAGATGAGCTCCCCCCCCCCACCGACCCACAGACTGTACCATTGAATTCAAGCCTGGGGCAAAACTCCCGAAGCCCAGATTATACTCCATGAGCCCAAAGGAGAAGGAGGAAATGGAAAGATTCATAAAAAAAAACCTAGAGAGAGGTTTCATTGAGCCAGCCAAGCCTCAAGTGGCTGCCCCGGTCCTCTTTAGAGAGAAGAAGGACGGCTCTTTAGGCTTATGCGTGGATTATAGGGCCCTGAATACAATCAGTGAAAGCAACCTATACC